CCCTGCTATCTCTCAGGGCTGGAGCCTGGGCTGGGAGGAGACCCTAAGCCTGACTTGCTGTGGTGTATACAGTCCTCCTTTAAGGAAAAAGCAATTTAATATTTCGGCTGCCTTATCCTCCTGTGCAACTTCATTTCTCATTCTGCTCTGTAATGTTCTTTCTCCTTGGTTGATCGCTTACTTTTGTACTTTAGACATGAAATTGAAGTTCTTTGGTATTCTAGAGAGGTTTGCTCCTAGCCTCTGCTGCCTTGCCTTTCTCATTCACCTTGGTGTGGAGCTTGCCTCTTCTCTCTCCTACTTCCCAAGTTTTGTCATCCCTGTCACTTTTGGGTGATGTGTACGTGGACAGCAAAGAGTCTCCTGCTGTGATGCTTCCCTCCAGCTGAATTCTGTCTTGCTCAGCCACCTTTCTGGGAATCTGTCAGCCTGTCTTTAAACCTGCTCTGATTCTAAACTTTTTTAGAATGCTGTCTGATTCCTAGCAGATATAGAGGATAAAAATCACAATTCTTTTTTGGCATTGTGGAGTGCTTGGAGACCCTCATAGAAATATAGTATTATTACCAGTGCTGACAACTGACAGGCAGTGTCCAGTGTCCTGGATGCCAAATTCCTAATGCCTCAAATCTTCTTCCTATGGGAGTAAGAGAACAGTAATCTTTCCCCCATGAGCAGACACAGCAGAGGAGGTCTTTTAGTAGCCGCCTGAATGTGAGGATTATCAGAGGAGTTATAAAGAGATAACGGGAAGTGATCTGCTCCATGGCTGCAGATGGGACAGAGGATACGGGGCCAGCGAGGGAGGCTGTGAGGTGGGAGGAAGTATTCCTGGGACCGGCTGTGGGTGTTGTAGAGAGTTGCCTCTAAAATGGAGAGGAGCTCAAGGCAGCTGGATGAGGGCTTTAGGAGAAATGAGATCTGAGTTAGGGGTAAGGTGCAGGAGGCTTGACTGCAAAAGGATTTCAGAGGGACAAGAGAATGTGAAAGCTTGAATCAAAGCAGCTGAAAGATTGGCTTTAATATCTGCTTAGATTAAAAATAAAAGTCTGTATGGATTAAGAGATAATCCGCTAGATAGATTTAATCTGCCACGTGTAGTACTTCCCCGAAGAAAAGCATTGGGAGGGGAAGGTTGGTTTGGCTCAATGCCCAGGATTTGAAGGCAGGTGGTATATTCTCCTTTCTTCTGCAGGCCCCCTTTTCACTTGTCCCATAGTGTGCATCCTGCCCAAAGGGAGGGGCTGTCGCTGTACGCCTCCTGCTTCTTTGCAGTGCCAAAGTCACATTGGATCTAACTAAAGGGGTTTCTCAAGCAGAAAAGCTGAGAGCAAAATAACACAGCAATGACTAATAGGATAGGCACAGGGTAGGTTCAGATGCTGATGGTGGTTTTGGCTGTCTTGAGTGCAGGGTTCTGAGGGGCAGTAATGGGCCATTTTATTAACACTTAGCCCTCCTGTCCTGATTGCAATTGCCTTTCAAACAAACGCCACTCACTAACACACTGCTTAAATGGCAGTTGAGGTCTGAATGCCACCTGGCTTCAAACGCTTTGCCCCTGAAATCCTGGGCAACAGCCCTCTCCATCCCTTCATATTTCCTTTCTTTACAAACATCAGGTTGACTCCTTAGAGTAAGTTCAGTTTCCACAGCAGTAGAAATACTAAGGTTGCTGGGGGACACTTGAACATGAGGGGTTTTTTTCCATGTATTTTTTCATTATCAATATGGTATATTGTCTCTTCTAACTAACATATGCAACTGTATCTTGAACTGTATATGCGTAAGTCATGCACTTTTAGGAGCCTGTACATGTGATGGAATTTGGATTAGTTGGATTGAGGGAGTTTAATACTTTTTTTCATAGTTGTCTTGCTCAGCAACAAATAAATTAATTCTGTAGTCTGGTGTGTATTCCTTCTGTGTTGTGTGCCTGCATCTGTACCACCTCAGGTGAAGGGTTTTGGCATATCTCCTAAGGTCAGTGGGATTTGGCCTGGCAAGTCCTGGAGTAGGACATCACAGGAGAAAGTACAGGGTGCCTCAGAGAAGAGCCATCATGGTTTGAAACACCTGAGCTGGCACTGGACAACTTCCCCAGCTTGTGCTGGGAGCAGGCCATCTGCCTGATACTGTCCTTTTATCAGTGAATGTAATCACTCTCGGTTGTATTTGGAGAGCAGTAGGGATGGATGAAGGTATAGATGTCTTCCCTCTTTCCATTCTGGATG